CCCCCCAGTGATTTTTTTTACTTGTTCTCTCTGGTATGGTTTGCTTCTTCTTTCCTATCAAACATCTATCTTCCTAGAGCCGTCTCCGAATAGACACTGCGAAGGATGCCTGTCCCCCTGTCATTCTTTCTTCTTTGCTTCCTCCTTTCTCTGTGCCTTTTTTTTTACTTTTTCCCATTTTGTTTCAAGTCGCAGGTTTTGACTCCCTGTCGGTATATCAACACAAGCATCGGTAATGTAAAGTGTAAAGGTCACAGCAAAAGATGAGAGTTCAATGACCATGCTGGGAAATGATTTATTGAGTTTTTCTGACGTCTCGTTTTGGATGTGTCCACAAAATGTAGGTTGGTCTGGACAGGCGGATAGAACCACCCCTCCCCCCTCCCCCCTCCCCCATCTTTCCACTCACACCTCTGTTCTAATTGATTTTAGATTGCATCGATTTGGAGGTGGAGAGGATTTCCCAATACGTGATCATAACTTGTCTGTCCCTACGTGTTGTCTCTGTTTGGGTATATTTTGGACTTTTTCTCGGGATGGAAACGTTACATTTCATTTAAAGCTGCATTATCTTTCTCTCTCTCTCTCTCTCTCTCTCTCTCTCTCTCTCTCTCTCTCTCTCTCTCTCTCTCTCTCTCTCTCTCTCTCTCTCTCTCTCTCTCTCTCTCTCTCTCTCTCTCTCTCTCTCTCTCTCTCTCTCTCTCTCTCTCTCAAATATCCCCAACAGATATGCTTTTGAATAACACTGTTAGGTAAGGCCTGATTTTTTGTAAAACAGAGAAAGAAAGAAACAGACAGACAGATAGAATCAGAAGCAGAGAGAAAGAGAGAGGGGGGATTTTTTGCGGGAAGGGGGGGGGGGGGGGCTGCGTAAGCGTTTGTGAAATCAAGCTTCGGCACATATGTTTGTCATTAACTGTTTCACCTTCGATTCCCAAAGAGAATCAGCTCAGTAATCTTTAATGTGAAAATTTGAAGGAAAAAATCTAAAAGTTAAAGAAAAACTTTACACGCAAACGGTTTTAAGAGAACATGTGAAACGTGAAAGCCGTTTCCCATAGACAATACGCATTTGACATCGTTGATTAATGGGGCAGACGTTCTTTCTCTCAACCCAAGCCGATATCCTTAGAAAGAATTAATACACTCCATTTTATCGCTCAACGCTTCTTTAATCAAAGATTTAAACTTAAGACAAAAAAAACCCTGTATTTTCAATTTTGCAAAAATATTCTATAACATGAAAGATAAAGAGGCCCGAGAATTACATTGCATAACTGAACTGGTGATAACGCCTTGAAAGCAAAGATAACCACGTAGATTTAAACAAAAAAGCTCTCAAATACTTGGAGTTAATACTCATAATACAGAGTTCACCGCGAAATGTAGAGAGATTTACATGTAACCAGTTAGAACAAGAGAAATCAAGTGAGATGAGCTTATGTCAACACGCATTTTGTATAAGGATGTACTCCAGAGAGAGTCGGTTTTAAAACTGCAAAATCAGTTTTGCCTGTTTGAGAAACGGTGTTCTCTTACAAAAGGTAAAGCAGAGGTTCCAATGCGGTTAAGGCTTACCTCATGTGTATATTAAGAGATAGATAGATAGATAGATAGATAGATAGATAGATAGATAGATAGATAGATAGATAAATAGATAGATAGATAGATAGATAGATAGAAAGATAGATATTCACACATGCATTAGAGTGCTCGTGTGTGTGTGTGTGTGTGTCTGTGTGCGTCTGTTTTGGATAGATAGATTAAAATCTATGAGTACATGTGTGGGTTTGTGTGTGGGTTTGTGTGTGGGTTCTTTTAACTACAGCATGCAGACGTCTCCGGTACAATGGCCACACTTTACTGCGTACAATGATGTGAATCTAATTTCCACGTCAGAACGTCTGTGTGACGGAGTTTCCCCAGTCTTGTTACAGAGAAGTACAGTCAACTTTCTTTGGTATGGAAGCAACTTTCCTCCTAAATTATGGTCTAAATAGTTACAACGTGGAAGAGAATTATCGTTTACAATAGTTAACTATGTGACTCACATACTGAAATTCGATTTGATGTTTAAGTGGGAACAACAGCCCCTTCTGCTTGGAATTTATATCACAAAATTTGTTCTTGTGCAACAAAAATTTGTTGGTATTTTTTATTTGCAACAATTCAATAACACGCCAGTTCCCGCCATCAGCAGGCCTTTGTTCAGTGATGCTAGTAGTAGTAGTAGTAGTAGTAGTAGTAGTAGTAGTAGTAGTAGTAGTAGTAGTAGTAGTAGTAGTAGTATAGTTGTTGTTATTTTCATTGTTGCTGTTTTTTGTTGTTGTTGTTGTTTGTTGTTGTTGTTGTTGTTGTTATTGTTACAGTAGAACATAGAATATAATCGTCATTAGGGTTATTACGTCAATGACACCGAATGCTGCATATACAGTATTTTATCAATATTCTCTGAACTTGTTCGCCACTTGGAAGCTCTTGACACTGAGAAAGTTGCTTCTCTCGTCTGAAACATTACATGTAGTTAAAATTGAAGAACAGCATTGGCTTCCATAACTTCGAAAAAGGAACCCCTGTTACGCAGAAATACGTTCCTTCAAGCAGGTAATACCTTGAAAGTGAATTATACGTCAGCTTACAGAGCATCAACCTGCACGTGTGTTTTCTGCAAAATAAAAGACATAGAAAAAACATCAATAAACAGACACACAAACAAAAACAGCGACGAAGACGCATTGGTTCCCCTCGCTCTTGTGCATTTCTGTGACTGTAATGTAGCATTCGCAAATACAAACCATGTGTTACTAGGTCTTCTCTTTGTCAATTTTATGAACTTAAATGTTCCTGTCAGAGATGATGAAGATGCTGGAGCGAGCATACTTATTTTTGTCCCGTCCTTTATAATGAATTTTTTGGGGTCTTTTGCTTGTGTGTACGTGTGTGTGTGTGTGTGTGTGTGTGTGTGTGTGTGT